GCCAACTTCAATTTAGGTCAGTTACAGAAGTTTACTTTAATTACCTACATCCTCCTGTTGGCCAAATATACTCCGTAATGCTCGGGTCACACCTTCTACTCAATATATTGAGTAGAAATATCTTCACTGTTCAGTCCAGCCATCAAATCCATAGCTGGATCTCTTTCATAAACCTTACACAGCAATTCCTAAACCAGTCACATTCTCCCCTGTCTTTCTACTCAAACTCAACAAACTTCAGCCTTCCCGGCTAACCTAACTATCTGGATAAGATCTTCCATGAGCTACACCTACAAATTTCTGCTGAGTCCTTCCCTGAACCCTTAGAATTTTTTCTCAGTCCTAAAACTCAATCTCCTGATCCCACACACTCACCCCTTGTCTGTGGCCAGGAGACTAGAAACATACTTATGACTAATAGCATCCCAGATAATACAATATCTTAAACCCAAGTGGATTGAATTATGTCCCCTCAAAACTCACTGAAGCTTTAATTGTGTCCCCCAAGTTTTATGTATTAGAAACTTAGCCCCCACTGTGACTGTTAAGAGGGTGGGAGATCCTATTATGGTAATTGAAAGGTGGAGCCTTGAAAAGGTGGTTGGATTGTAGGACCACGCAGTAGTAAATGGGTTAAAAATGGTGGTCAGGAGTGTGATTCTGAAGGCTTAAAAAAGAAGAGGAGAGTCTGTCTATCTCTGCTGTGCTCTCTCTGCTTCCACCATCTTGCAACGTGAGACCACTGGGTCACTGTCACCACCACCAGATGGGCTTAGGACTTCCCAGCTTCAGAAACAAACAAAATAAATTTTCTTTTCTTTATAAACCACCCAGTTCCACGTATTTTGTTATAGCCACACAAAACAGACTAATACAACCTATCTGGGGCCCCATATCTACTCATATGTACCTTGTTTCTCAAGCACCCCTTTGCATTCACCGATTATTTTTGGACCAAACCTATAGAACCTTTGTTGAACAGCTCCCCACCGAACAATGTCAACCAAAGCCTCAAATTCCTTACCACAAAATTCTCCACCCAAGTTTGGAGGAACAATTTCTGCTTCTCAGGCTCCCCATCCATCTCCTGGAATAAACCTGCTCCTACCATTACCCCCAAAACAACAACCCCAACCCCTTTATGCCAGTGAAGGTCACCACGTGCCCAGCTGGAAGGACTGCCTCGGTGAAAATGCTTCGACAAGTCTTCCTGTCTTGCTTCTCTCTCTCAACGCATCTTCCCAACTACAACTCCTCACAGACAGCACCCACTTCTTCCTCTCACTTGGAAACCAGCATTTGTCTCTCTCCCACCAACATTCCCTACCAGCCCCTAACTTGTGCCACCCTCTCCAGAGCCTACTCAGTGTGGGACCTGGAGGACACCAAGCAAACCCCATGGCTAGCCACTGTCACCTATGGCTTCTGTCTTACTACCTGGGTGTCTTCTTCCTCTGTGGCCCCTCATCCTGCCTCTGTCTTCCCTCTAACTGGCCTGGCAGCTGTACCTTAGTGTTCCAGATCCCCACTGTTACCTGACTGCCAAACAGTCACACTGTTCAGGTTCCCCTTCATGCCACAGTTCCCTCCTCGGTGGCCCATCATAAGTGGGCTGCTCCACTCCTCATTCCCACACTGGCTACCCCAGGAATTTCCACTGCTCTAGGGACAGGAATAGCTGGTGTTACCACTGCCACAACCTATTTCCAACAACAGTCAAAAGTCCTCCCTCACACTCTAGATGGAATGGCCTCCACCCTTACCACCATTCAAAATCAAATAGATTCACTGGCAGGAATGGTTCTTCAACACAGACGGGCCCTGGACATCCTAACTGCTGAAAAAGGAGGTACCTGTCTCTTCCTAGGGGAAGAAAGTTGTTTTCATATTAACCAGTCTGGAATAGTCTGAGATGCAGCAGAAAAACTACGTGACAAGTCATCTCAAATTCAACAAACAACAGACATGTCCTGGTCATGATGGCCCCAGGGGCCTCCTTTCTAACCCGTTTTCTAACTCCTCTTGTGCTTCCAGTTCTAGGCTTAACAATTGGACCTTTTTTATTTCAAATGCCCTTCGCTTTCATCCGATGAACCACAGAGTCCAGTGCTGCCCAACAGGTCAAAGTGGTCCTCGCGCTTCAAGCTGTTTGATACCAATGATGACCACTGGGCCCCCCAAACACCCCGTAACTTTCATCATCCCTAATCAGCTTGAAGCAGATACAGAAGCAAAGATCTTCACCCCGACCCCCTTCTCCCTTCATTTATATATGTATATGTATGTATAAAGGGAAGAATACTAGGCTCGCAGTCAGTTAGCATAAGCACAGCCATGTTGCCTGCCCCCTCACCCTGACCCCCACCTCCTCCCTTTCCCTCAAAGCCCGTGTGCTCTGATAGGTACATCTGGTACAAAACAGGATCTTGTAAAAAATAGAAAAACCATGAAGCTGTTAGTGCTCAGAACAGCTGCCCAACCTCCTCTCAGAACTTAGGCTCTTCCCTCAACCCCTTCCTCCCCAAATCCAAACGCTATAAAGCCTCTGCTAGTCTGTATGGGGGTGGAAAACTGGTCTTTCAGCTTCCCCTCCAGATTCACTGGAAATAAACTACCTCATGTGATAAGGTTTGGTTAGGAGTCCTTTCGTCTGTCTGTCTCGCTGACCTAGCACCAGCCATTCAGGCCTAAGCCCGGAAGCCATCATCACCTCCTGCATTCCCTCTCACTTCATGTTCATCTGCAAGCCCTGTTGGCTTCACCTCCAAATCCTCATATATGCTGAATCCGTCCTCTCCTCTCCAGCCGCACAGGCACAGCCCTAGCCCAAGCCACCGTCATCTCCTGCCGGGGCAGCGCCGCAGCCTCCTAACGGGCCTCCCTGCTTTCAGCCTTGCCCTTCTGTGGTTCCTTCTCCACACGGTAGCCATAGTGATCCTTAAAGAAAATAAAGAGGGTTGACTCTGTCTTCCCATCATAAGGCCGGCACAGTCTGAACTCTGCCCACCCGTCCCCTCATCCCCTCCCATGCCTTCCACCTGTTCAGCACGCTCCCCGCACAGCGGCCTTCCTGTATTCTTGGACACGCCCAAAGCCAGTGCACCCGCTGGTCCCTGTGCCGGGAACAGCACTTCTCAGCGTTGGAGCCTTAGCTCCACTTTCCCCTCCTCCGATGGCCTTCCCGGACCCCCATCACTCTCCACCCCGCGGCCTTCCTGTATTCTTGGACACGCCCAAAGCCAGTGCACCCGCTGGTCCCTGTGCCGGGAGCAGCACTTCTCAGTGTTGGAGCCTTAGCTCCACTTTCCCCTCCTCCGATGGCCTTCCCGGACCCCCGTCACTCTCCACCCCATCATTCTTTTTTGTTATCGTTACAACACTCACCACTACCTAACATCATCTTAAACTATTTGTTTCCTATTTGTTTGTCACCAGCATGTAAACTCCATGACTGCAGGGAACTTGTCTGCTCACTCCCCACATATTGCCGATACCTAGAACACTTCCTGACATGTCATAGGTGCTCAGTACATTTGTTGAAAACTAAATAAGTAACATGAAGTGATGCATGTGAAGCTCTAGCACAGCGCTTATCATGTATGAGAAGACTTTGTGCACATGCCCACCTTCGAAGCTAGACTCTGAGATCCTAAATAGTCAGGGTGTGATTTCGCACATTGCAGATACTCGGGAAACATTTCCTGGTGAGATGGCTCGGGTAGGGACTGTGTGACTTCACACCACCTTCCTGGTGGAGCTTTCCAGAGACCCACTAGAACTATTTGCATAGCCACTGCCCTTTTAAGTCTGTGCATGTTAATTTAAATGAAAAAGATAGTCTTCATAGAAAATGATCCTCACCCTCTTTTGTGAATTAAGAGAAGAATGGGGTTTTTCCAAATAGTTTCAACTTATGGAATAAAGATTCCTAAAAATGGGTCTAAGTTGAACATTATCTCAGTAATTTTAGGACACACGCCTTCCAGCATGTACCCCGTCTTCACCGATGAAAGTTACACGGTCATTTTTCACTTTCTAGGCTGACTCCTCCTGCCTCTTCCCCACCCAGTCACCAAATCCAGTCTGGTTCCTGCTCTGGACGTCTCCCCGCTCACCCCTCTCAGCTTTGCGTCACCATCTTCCCAGGGCCATCGCCATATCCTCTTCATTTCCCTGACAGTCTTGCTGCTGTATTCACCCATAACTGTCACAGTGAGTGGTGAAGGCATCTCTCTTCTTGGCATACACTTCTCCCCAGACCCTCTCCTTGCAGGAGAGGCACACCTCCTTAAAGATCCTTAAAACGTGTGACACACTGCCTTAAAGATCCTGTTGCCTTTCCAGACTCTCTTCTTCTACCCGCACCTTGCACTTCACCCACTGGCAGTACAGCTCCTGGTCTCCTGGGCCCAGGCCTGTGCACCTGGGGCCGCGCCTGTGCACATCTTTGCAGGGAGCACGCCTCTCCTTCCTTCAAACCTCACCCAGAAGTACTCAGGACCTCCACTGGCACGTGGTGCGGGTCCCACACACCACTCTGCACACTCTTCTTGTGCCTGTTGTTCTATTGTGACCAGAGCCCTTTCAGGCCCAAGGCACAGAATCACCCACTGTCCCGTCTGTGGCAGAGTATATTTTCTTAAATGGCTGTGACAATATCTCTCATGCTATGTGCTACTCTTACAATGTGGCTTTGACATTCTTCCCACTGAAGGGTGGGGTCTATGTCACTTCCTTTTGAATGCAGGTGGGCTTGTGACACTTTGACCAACAGAATACAGTGGAAGCGATGCCTGGTGATTTCTGAGGCTGGGTCCTACAAGGCCACACAGCTTCTGCCTCCTCTTTCTTCAGGTACAGCCAGCACACTGTGAGGAAACCCAGGCCACGTGGGGAGAGCTCATGTAGATGTCATCAGCCCCCGCTGAGTTCTCAGCTGCCAGCTATACTAACTGCCAGACATACACAAGTGAGGAGGCCTTTGTGATGGCACCAGCCCTAGCCACTCTCCAACTGCACCCAAGTGACAGCCCCCTAGACAACCACCTAGGAGAACCAGTTAACTCCTAGAACTGCGAGAGGTAATAAGAAAATGACTGTGGTTGTTTCAAACCACTACATTTTGGGGTGATTTACCACATAGTAATGATTTGCCACATCAAAAACAGGAACAGCATTTGTGCATGACTGTAACTTGACTGCTTGCCAGTTTGAGCTCCTTGAGAACAGGTTTGGTTCTGCTTCAGATGGCACAGTCCCTGGCTTCCACGGGCAACTTCCAGAGCTTTGGTAGGGGAGTCGAGTGATTCCCCATCCTGAGCAGAGGTCATGGGCTTTCCCCAGCGTTCCTTCACATTACTGGAACCTCCTTCTCATATCTTCCCTCCTTGCCCCCCCCCTTTAAAATGATGACCACCCCTCCCACTCCCTCATCCCCTGACCTGGCCTGAAGGAGGACCTCAGGACATGACAAATTCCCCAGGCTAAAGAGTTTACCATGTGCTTTCCTTGCTGTCAAGAAAGAATCTAGAGTCTTAAGAAACACCAAGTGCCCAAGAAGTCAGGAGAGGAGGCACTTTGACCCTTGGCACTCAGTCTTTCAACACTTAATGACTTGGATAATTTGAGGCAATCCTAAAGGTTGCCGTGACGTGTCAGTCTGCTGAAGCTGCCAGCTGAGTCACAGGGGAGTCCAGTGTGGGGAGTGTCACTGGGCTAGGGACAAAGCCAGCTTGCTGCCTAGACTGGCAACTCAACAGAGTTTCTCCTTCCCTACTGAACCAATGGCCAGGCCCACAGAGAAAGCCAGCTCCTGCTGGGGGTTAAAGAAAGTGACAATTCATTGGCAGGGAATGGCATTGTACTTAGTTGTATGGATTTACACATCCAGGGATTTGAAAAGATCACACACACTTCCCAAATGCCAAGGGTCTCGGTGCTGAAAGGGCAATGAAGGCAAGCTTCACTGACTTCTCAGTGTCGGGAAGCACCGCTGCCTTGAGGCCTGGGGTGGAGAAAATCATACTGGGCTGCTTTTAGCAGGTTAGATTGAGCAGCCCCACCTCCCCTGCTTCTGGCTGAGCCTCTTGAGACCTGTCTTCAATCAGTGCCAGTTCCTGCATCTCCTCAACATCCCCATGTCCCCATGGGTAGGTGAGAGGGCTCAGTAGTGGGAAGGTGACCCTGGCTGATGCATTTCTCCACAGGGCATTCTGGTCTTGATTTGGGGCAAGTTCCTGGGGCCTGGAGAGACGTGGGCTATCTGCAGCTGGGTAAACCAGGCACCAAGCGCCTCTACATTCTGGGTTTAGCTAGTATTGCCACCTATGCTATTANCATAGGAAGTCTGTTTTTAGAGAGGACTTCTTGGAGAGAGCTGACAGTGCACCCTGCATCCCCCCAGCTACCAGAGGGCCAGGAGGGTGGTGGGAATGCTGGCCTCCCACCTTAAGCCTAGAGAGATGGGTTTTAGGGGCCCACACTGCAGAGCCATAAACTAACCTGAACTGGATTTTAAACCTAAAGTCACCACAAGACTTTTTATTACTTAAGCATAAGCAGCAAAAGACACAAAGTTGCTTTCTAAATATATTCCATGAGTCTGGCTTGTTCAACATACCGCTAAAACCTTGAAACTTTCAAACAGCCCTGTTCAATTTCTTTCAATTGTTCAAAACAACAACTACATCCAACATTACCTACAGACAGGCAAGGCAGGTGCTCTTATCCCTAGTTAGTGCATGAGTTAACTTTGGTTCTGAAAAGTTAAAAAAGTGGTTCAAGGTCACAGAGTAAGCCCTGAGCTCTAGCCCCAGCTATGTTGACACCTATGGTTTGGTTTCCTCATCTGCATGATCATGGTTCAGAATTACAGTTCTGAGCTATGCTCCAATCTATTTACCCATGCATAGAATCAGAATGCCATGTCCATTGACCACTCATGGTTCTAACATCACAGGTGCAACAGGGTTGAGTGTGGGTCTCTGGTAGGAGGATTTTTGCCTCTTCCTTTCTTCCCCCAAGTATATACAGGTAAAATTGTGATAGCCAGGAGGACAAAAGAAAGCTATTCAGTGTTGGAAACATGTCTAAAGTACATGAAGGAAGCTCCAAGCTCTATAAATTGCAAAACACATCATGGCTCTTGTTCATTGACAAGGTGGAAATGTTCATGAAGCTAGTAGTTAATTGCACAGCAAAACCCATGATTTCCATTCTTAGAGAGACTTCCCACCATGATATCCAAATTATTGAACCTCTGACCCCACCGGTAGCCATTTTTCTCAGGCTGCATGTGGGGGAAGTTCCAGCGAGATAACTCCGCCTGTGGAGGACTTTATGGTTGGAAAGGTGACCAGGAGGCTGCGGTAGGAATGAAATAGGACAGGCAGCCAAAGCTCCTTGCACAGTGCCTGGAGCACGGGAGGAGCCAGCAACTGTGAGCTCCTCTCTGTGGACCCACTCACTCTGGTTTCATGTACAGCCTGTAGGCTGGACGGGGCTACGTGTTTTCTGCCAGTCCCGCAAGAAACCCACCCTGTAGGCAACTCAGGACATCCACTGACTAGAGCCCTTGGCCTGGAGCTCAGTTCAGAAGTCAGATAAGCAATGGTTGTTTGAGAGGTATGATAAACGCCTCTTCTAGCCTCTGTGGGCCTGATTTTCCCTAGGCTAAAAGATTGGTTAGCCCCTTCTTTTCAGCTTCCCCGTTACAAGACTGGCAAAAGAGCAATGCAGGGGTCATTTGTCGGTAATATCAGGTCCAACTGGTTATCAAAGCGATGGTGATCACAGTCAGAAGAGTGATCGTGTTATCCCCTCAAGTTTGGTTTTATTCTGTGTGTGCATGCGCATGTGTATGTGGTTACCCTCCATTCAGTGTTTCACTGGGCAGTGTACTAAGGACATTCTAATCATTATCTCATTTATTGTTATTCCCAATTTGCAGGTGAGGAAACTGAGCCTCAGAGAATTTGTTTAACTTGCCTGATTTCACACAGCTGTGCGTGAGAGGAGCGAAGATTTGCACATAGGTCTGTTGAGCTCCATGGTGGCACTGTCTAGAGGGGCAGACCACAGTGCAACCAACATCCCCTTCCTACCCCATCCCCACCTGCCCCTTACCTAGGGCCTTCATGTAGCCTTCAAAGTTGTCATTACTCTCCATCTCCCAGATTCCATTCTGGTTCCTTGTCATGGTGGCAGACTCTGGTTTAGGGCAGGTGTGGGGTGGACGTCAAGGAGCAGGCTTCAGGGAGAATGTGTTGGAGTGAGCTATTTTATAGCCTAGTGGACCAGGTTTATAGCTCTGAAGATAACAGATTCAAAGGTCATAAGTGTAACTCAAAGAACTTTCCTTTCCATTATAAATTTCAGGAGGATTATGGGCTTCCCAGGCACAAAGTCCTGGTGACCTGCACCATACACAGGACCCTGGAGCAGCTCATCTTTGGCAGGCTGGTAGTGTGGCTCAGGCTAAGTCCAAAGGTCTCAAAACCAGGGAAGCTGATGGCGTCCTTGGTGAAAGTTCTGGAACCCAAAAGCTGAAGAGTCTTGAGTTCTGATGTCCACGGACAGGAGAGAAGAGTGTATCCCAGCTGCAGCAGATCAAGAGCGAGCTTCACCTCTTTCCTCTGTCTTTTGTTCTCTTTGTAACCCCAGCAGATTGGATGGTTCCCACCCACATTGAGGGTGGGTCTTTCCCACCCAGGCCACTCAGACTCTCATACTAATCTCTGCTGGAAACACCTCATGGACACACCTAAAAAGATAGCTTTACTAGGTTTCTCAGCATTCCTTCATCTAACCAAGTGGACACCTAGAATTAACCTTCACAGGGAGTCAAGAATAAGTACGATTTGTAACAATGTATATTCTAGTAATATTGATTTGATCAACATATGTCACTGTTGAACCCCCAAAATATGTATAACCAATTATGATTCAATAAAAATTAAAAAAAACCAAGTCCCCAGCTTACTATAATTAACAACCCCTTTCTTGTCATCAACCCCCTCCTCTACCAGACCAGCTTTTCTTTACATTCTTGCAAGTTACACGATGCCAGCATCCAGATTGCAGATGGCCTATCATGGGACTTTTCTTCATAGTCGTGTGAGCTAATTCCCCTAATAAATCCCTCTCATATAATTATAACACATCCTATTGATTCTGTCTCTCTGGAGAACCCGACTAATTGTGGTCCTTCTGGATTTCTGACTGGTTTGAGACCTGTTACCCCTTTCTTTTAGCCTATTTCTCCCTTTTGGAATGGGAATATGTACCCTATGTTTGTCCTACCATTGTATCTTGGAAGCAGATAACTTGTTTTTAATTCACAAATGGAACTTTGAACTTTGGACCGTTGAGTTAAAACGAGTTAAGACTTTGGGGAGGAAATGAATGCATTTGCATGTGAAAAGGATGTGAATTTGGGGGGGGCCAGGGACAGAATGTACTGGATTGAATCATGTCCCCCCAAACTCCTTGAAGTTTGAATTGTGTCCCGCAAGTTTTATGTATTAGAAACTTAACTTGTGTCCCCCAAGTTTTATGTATTAGAAACTTTTATGTATCAGAAACTGTGACTGTTAAGAGGGTGGGAGATCCTATTAAGGTAATTGAAAGGTGGAGCCTTGAAGAGGTGATTGGATTGTAGGACCATGCCATAGTGAAT